AACACCCATGGAAGCAGCAGTCAAGAAATCAAACGATGTATGGCATTAGGCAAATCTGCTGCACAAGACCTTTTTAAAGTGTTGAAGAGCAAAGATGTCATCTTGAGGACTAAGGTGCGCCTGACCCAAGCCATGGTATTTTCAATAACCTCATATGCATGCAAAAGCTGGACAGTAAATAAGGCAGACTGTAGAAGAATTGATGCTTTTGAGTTATGGTGTAGGAGGAGAATATTGAAAGTGCCATGGGCTGCCAAAAGAACCAACAGATCTGTGTTGGTAGAAATGCAGCCAGAGTGTTCATTGGAGGCCCAACTTTGTCTATCATACTTTGGACATATTGTCAGGAGGGACCAGTCGCTGGAGAAAGATGTCATGTTTGGTAGGGTGGAGGGTCAGAGAAAAATAGAAAGACCCCCAGTGAGGTGGATTGGCAAAGCGGCAGCATCAATGGACTCAAGTGTGGCAACAATACTGAGGTTGGCCCAGGGTCGGGCAGTGTTTTGTTTTGCTGTGCATAAGGTCGCTGTGAGTCAGTACCAACTCGATGTACCTAACAACAACAACAAGTGGTACTATGTTTAAGCACTGAACTATAAACTGAAAAGTTGGCTGTTTTAACCAACCAGAGTTTCTTTGGAAAGAATTCCAAGGATTGGAATCCTGATAATGTGCTCCCATATAAATTGCTGTTGTTAAGTACTGTTGAGCCTATTTCAACTCATAGCAACCATATATAGTGTTTTTGAGGAGCAGCTGGTGGGTTTGAACTGCTTACCTTGTGATTAGCATTATAGTGCTGATTCTACAGTGCCATATGAAGTCACTCATAAGGATTATAGCCTAGGAATCCCAATTTTTTTTTGTTGTTGTTGTTGTTGTTGCTAAGTTCCAACTGTTAGTATCCGTACATGCAACAAAATGTAATACTGCCCAGTCCTGTGTCATCCTCACAATCATTGTCATATTATAGCCACCACTTCACACCAGCTGGCTGATAATAATCTTCCTGGTTTTTTTTCTGATCCTCTCCTTTATCAAACATGCTTTCCGTCTCCAGGAACTGTCCCCTCCTGACAATATGTCCAATGTATATGAGATGAAGTCTTGTCAATTTCTCTCCCAAGAAGCATCCTGGCTGCACTTCTTCCAAAACAGATTTGTTTGTTCATTTGGCAGAGCATAACACTTTCAATATTCTTCACCAACACCATAGTTCAAAGGCATCAATTCCTCTCCCATATAGTGTATTCATTGTCCAGCTTTCATGAAATCCAAGGGGATGGTTTTGTATAAGTCATAATCAACTTGACAATATCCAATAATAATAAGAACTGTATATTTTAGCAAGAGAAAAGATTAAGACCTATAATTAATAATCAGTAAACACAGGTGTTTCCATAATTTCATAGACTTTTGAATCTTAAGAGTTTTTTAAACTAAACTTGACTTGTCAGTATCTGGGACATGTGTGTGGCTTGTTCTTGGCTGTGTCCCTTCCTTATCTCTATGGCCTCTCCCTTCAGTTTATTTTCTGTGTAGGTTTTCATAGCAGCAAGCTTGAGAGCAAGTAGGAATTCTGAGAGGATTAACTAACACATGAGAAGCTTATGAGTATTTGTAATAATAGGTTGTCTTCAAAGTAAATGGCAAAGCTTAGGGAGGTTTATGAGGTTTAAAAGTACATCTTCAAAAGCACATGTTTGTATCAGGACCTTCTTAATTTTAGTAGATCATTAGAGTTCTCACATTTAACCAGAGGATACTTCTTCTCTGCAGGCTGCGTGAGAGGCCAGGACCTTCAGTAATGCATCACCTTCCTGAGGGGTATATGTAAATCTCATTTCTACTGAGGCTCTTTGCATGAACACAGCCTACAACCTAGGACCCAGACCTTATCATTGTGTTTTTTTACTTCAAATGGCATCACTCCTATATGTAACCCATTTGTGATGTTCATTGGCTTCAGTAGGGAACTATAGGAAGCATGATTGTGCAAATCATGAGGTTCTTAACATATTCACAGACCTAACTAAAATAGAGCAATTTTGAATTACTTTCCTAGAATCATGCACAGTTTCTTAGAAGTGTATGAAGAAAAGAATGCAAGTTAACTCCTCTAAAGACCAGCATTCCAGTTGCTGTGGAGCTGATTCAGTCTCATGGTGATCCTATAGGTGCCAGAGTAGATTTGCATACCACAGGGCTTTTAATGGCTGCTTTAGGGGAAGCAGATCACCAGAACTCTCTTCTGAGGAGGTTCTGAGTAGATTTGAACCTTCTGTTTTTCAGTTAGGAACCAAGTCCATTGATTATGTGTATCACTCAGGGCCTCCTACATACCCAAAGAGAGTTTATATTCTATTTGTGCATATCACATGAATTAATACAAAGCTTAAATAAATAAAAATTATTGCATGTGGCTCATTACATTTCTTTTCTAACACAATCCTGGTGTGGCACTGTGGGTTAATGTGCCAGATTGCAAAACTATTTGAATTGCAAGGTCAGCGGTTCAAGCTCACCAGCTGCTCCTTGGAAACCCTATACAGGGTCGCTATGAGTCAGAATCGATTTGACAGCACTTAACAACAAATGCTTAGACTAAATAAACTAAAAGAATTATAACTCAAGTTAAGATTTACCATGAAGGGTTTCCTGGGGGAAGTGAACTTAAAAACAAGCCAATTGTGTATTACCTCGTGGGTCTCATGCAAGGCCATTCTTGATGCTAGGTAAATTAATCAGTCAACTTGATAACCAACATGGTGTCAGTTCACAAATGGAAACCATCTTTGTCCTGATTTGCTACCAGAAGATCTCCTCATGATTTATCCTGTCCTTTAGCTCAAGACTTTGTCATCTTTTACAAGAAAACTTCTTCCCCACAAAAGGAAAACGTAGCCCTACATAATTTAGGTATTTACCTCTGAGGGCAAGTGCTTCTTGATTATTGATTTAAAAAGACAGAACTTGTTTGGGCCTGTGGTGGGGGGGGCGATCGCCAGATAAAATATAAGAATTTTCCTTTTTGGAGATAGCATTAGAATGAAGAGCTATTGAAGAAGATCGGTGTGTGTGTGTGTGTGTGTGTGTGTGTGTGTGTGTGTGTGTGTGTGTTGGGGGGTGGGGAGGGTGCTGTGTCTCACACATGGCTTCTTTGTGCTCTAGGTATTTCCATTTATTTGGGAGACATTTGGGGTTGAGCTCAGGAAGTTGATCAAACATTTTTGTTTTAAATAATTAAAAAACTGTCATATTTGCTCCCGGACCACAATGCAAAAGTAAGATGTAGTAAATTGGGGTTTCAACTTGTGAATGTCTAAGTTGTAAGGGAAAAAAAAGTCTTCAAGAGAGACTCCACTCTAGAATCATGAGAGCTGTGATTCCAGTGAGATGAGCCTTAGGGATGATAAAGTAAGAAGCCAGAAGGGAATTTTCTAAATGTGACTGCTGGACTCTATACTGGACTCTATAGTGCATATCCAAATGTTTGGGTAAGAGGTCTTACGTGTTTTGCAAAAACACACTAGTTTATTTCTTTTCTTTTCTTTTGTCATGATGTTGTTATTGAGAAAACTTCTGGAAGTATTTAGAAGAGTTGCTTTTTTTGGGGAAAAAAAAGTCCTAATGACATGCTTACTATTTACTAAGTTTTGGGATAAGAGGAATGAAGGAATGATGCAAAGATGCTAAGACCAGCATTATTCAAGCAATGGTATACAGTGATGGCTTTCTGGGATGCTTCACTTCTACTCTGGTTTCTTGATATATAATTTAGCTTTGGGTTAAATTCATTGCTAGAAGAATATCACTTGGCCCTGGTGAATCTCCCTGAAGAAGGTCTGGAGTAATCTTTTACAAAGATAGTCTCTTTTTCATAAAGGTTTGCTCCCATTCTTAAGTTTATAATATAGAATGGAAAAGAAGTCCACAACTTAGTTGTTTGTTTGCTTTAACAATTGGGCTCAATAAACCATACAGATTCACTCACCCACACGCTCAAGCTGGGATAAAAGAATGCTTGTCTATAAGGCAATGCAGGAAGGCACCTATAGCAGAGAAGCTACAATACCTTGAGAGAATTGTTACTCTCTTTTCTTTCTTAAATCTGTCTTACCAACATTCATTTGTCTTTCTTTCTTTTTCTCCCCTCAGATGTACATCCAGACAACCACACTCACGGTCTCCATGAGTCTAAGTGCTTCGGTATCTCTGGGCATGCTCTATATGCCCAAGGTTTATATTATAATTTTTCATCCAGAGCAGAACATACAAAAACGCAAGAGGAGCTTCAAGGCTGTGGTGACAGCTGCCACCATGCAAAGCAAACTGATTCAAAAAGGCAACGACAGACCAAATGGAGAGGCGAGAAGCGAACTCTGTGAGAGTCTTGAAACCAACAGTAAGTCATCCGTAGACTTTCCGATGATCAAGAGCGGAAGCGCTTCCTAATAGATGTACGTCAAATATTCTTCTACCAGACTTGGGGACTGGTCTACATGGTTCTAGGGTATGGCAGTACCCATATAGCATGGGAACCCTCACACTGGTGACTCTGTTAGTTAAAGCCATGTGATTTCATAATTAGCAGCTATTCTAACGAACCTGCACACAGAATCTCTTTGACAAAGTCTGCCTCCTCAGTTTTTCTTTTGAGGCACTATAGACCTTGGACTTGGAAGTATCTTCCATTTATGAAAGTATCTTTTAGCACTTAGAAACCACTCTCTAAACCTTATTAGTTCAATATTGGTTGCTCTTTATAGCATCAAAAGTGAATTCATATTTATAGAACATGTGTCCAAAGATCTCATACAAGTAAATGATGTTTTATTTGGCTCTTTAGGGAAATGGGAAACCTGGTTAGCCAACCTGTTTGGTTACGTCAGTTAGTTTTCTATAGACCTCCCTGGTTTCCTTCTGGGAGAGATGATGACTATTAGGTTTCCTTTTGGGAAGCCTCATGAGAATAGACTCTTTTCTCCACCCACCCCTCCACATTTGTTTCTGTCTCTGTCCTGTCTTCCTCTCTGTAGCCTCCCTCAGCAGAAGCACACTGACACCCAAGCAGACCCAATTGTTGTTATATCCTCTGTGAAGTAAGATGTCATGTGATTCAACGTCTGTACAAACACTATTTGTTGTTGTTTTTAAGTGCCATCAAGTCAGTTTTGACCCATAGTGACTCTATATAGGGTTTCGGAGGAGCAGCTGGTAAGCTTGACCTATCGACTTTGTGTTTCAAACCAACTTTGCAGTCCAACGCATTAGCCCACAGCACCGCACAGGAAGTCTGAAAAACCCTATATAAGGATCTCTGGTAGCGTAGTGGTTATGAATCGGGCTGCGAACCTCAAGGTCAGCAGTTGGAAATTACCAGATGCTCCATGGGAGAAAGATGAGGCTTTCTGTTCCCGTAAAGATTTACAGCCTTGGAAACCCTGTTCAGGGTCGCTGTGAGTCAGAACCGACTCGATGGCACTTAACAACAGCAACATAGATATATATATATATATGTGCATACTGTTGTTGCTTTAAGTATCGTCAAGTCAGTTCTGACTCATGGCAACCTTGTTTAGGATTTCCAAGGAGTGGCTGGTGAGTTTGAACCGCCAACCTTGCTGTTCAAACCAACTCTGTGGTTCAGTGCTTAGCCTACAGTGCCACATAAGTGTATCAACTATATGCTTCTGTTAAGTGCCATTGAGTCGCTTCCAACTCATAATGTGCCTATATAGGGTTTCCAAGGAACAGCTAGTGGGTTTGAACTGCCAACCTTGCAGTTAGCAGTCCAGTACTTATCCTACAGCACCACACCAGTACTCCAAATACACACAAATATATACTATGGTGTTTGCACAGATACCAAATCACATACCACCAAGAGTCTTGCTTGGTGCTTTAAGATAAAACTGGACTGCTAATGCAAGGTCAACAGTTCAAATCCACCAACTACTACTCCTTGGAAATGCTCACCATGAGTCTCACAACCAACTCAATGCCACTTAACAGCAACCATAACAACATAGAAAAGTAACCCTGTGTAAGCGGCACTGACCACTCAGAGCCTCAAGCTCTGCTAACTTGCAGCTGCAATTGGTTGACTCTAATCACATGACACTCTTCAAGCAGCCCTTGGGATCCTAGCTGGATTCAGTAGCCCTCCAAAAGACAAGAAGTAGAGCAGCCACATTCCAGCATCTTCCTGCAAGCACTGACTTAGTGGAGGGCTAGACAGGGCCTGTCTCTACCAGTGAGAGCTGCCCCAAAACAAGGTGCCGCAGACCCAAAACTACAAGTTTGATGCTGGCCCACCATCTGGTGCTCTTCCAAGCAAGCCCCTCCTCTCATTTCCACTGATGTATATGTGGTCAGATGTTACCCAATTGAACCTTATGCATGCCTGTATTCAAGTCCATCCTATTTTCTATGAAGAGTGGTTAAAGGAATAAAGATTTTTTATTGGAAAATATCAGAAAACTGAGTCTGGTTAAAAACACAGCCTTTATTTTCCTATCTGCTAGAGGCGGGTCAGAAGAAATCAAAGCCAAGATCCTTTCATTGGAGTACCTTCTAGTCTTTTGGGAACCTAAGGAGACTTGAACAATGAAGAGTAAAACCAAATGCAAAACTCTCCCTTCCTCCTTTTTTCTTCCAGCAGGCTGTGTTCCTCATTCTCTGTATTTTTGATTGCCTAAATATAGCAGGGTTGGGCTACTAATCACAAGGTCAGCAATTCAAATCTACGAGCCACCTCATGGGAGAAAGATGAGGCTTTCTAGTCTAGTAAAGATTTACAGCCTTGGAAACCCTATGCCGAGCAAGTCACTATGAGTTTAAACTGACTCGACGGCACACTACAGCGACAACAAATATAGTCAAGGACTAAGAGTTGATTGCATCAGGTTGATTTATTATGGCAATAATAAAAGCCTTCACTGGAGTCACAAAACTTCCCTTTTCCATTTCCAGATAAACATTGGTCCAAAGGCCATGCTCACAAATAGATGCTACATCTTGATTAATTGAACGGACTTGATTTCTATTTATTTTCCAACTTTTGGGATTTAGTGACCAACTCCTCTAGGAAGATGACCTCCAAATCACTAATACCAAATGTATTCACTGGTCGATAAAGGAACATTATAGAAATTCAACCTACTCTGCCTATTCTCCATTCGGTAAACATGACACTTTGAACAACTCCAAGAAAAGGAAAGATAAGGATGGGTTTTGATAACAAATAGTTATAATCATCTCTGATTGTAGACAAGCAGTTTACTAATAATGGACCAATTTGGGTTCTTAGCAAAAGGTGTATTAAAACTACTGTCAAAAGCTTCAGAGTATAATGCTGGTGATTCGGGGGCAAAGTTTTTGTCTGTATTTTTCTAGCTTGAAATCATAAATGCAGGAAATCAAAACCCATTGTAGGATGCCAAAAAACTGCCATGGCCCCATGATACATATAATTTGAACACTGGCATTTTTCAGTATGACTCACCAGAACCTATTGTCACGTTGTCTTTTAGCAACATTCCAGAAAACTTTATATAATATGCTGGCAATTCAAAACAACCAAATTTACCACGGAAGTTATGCCAGACTCACCTATTCGAATGGTGACAAAAAATTCTCCCCCTTTTAAACATGAAGTAGGTTACCCAAAGAGGAAAATTCCAATTATTATCAATGACAAATTCAATACTGAGAATCACTGTGGCTCTGTAAGATAAACACTGGACTACGAACTACAAGGTAGGTGGTTAGAGCCCATCAGATGCTCCATTGGAGAAAGATGAAACTTTCTACTCCCATAAAGATTTATAGCCTCCAAAATTATCTACAGGGTTGCTATGAGTCAGAATCAACTCTATGGAATACAACCACCCCCAGACTGATACCAGAGTCTTCGTGTGGTGCTTGGGATAAGCACTGGACTGCAAGGTTGGTTTGAATCACAAGGTCTCTGGTTCAAACTCACTAGCCTTGCCATGGAAACCCTATACAGGGGCGCTGAGTTGGACCCAACTCGATGGCCCTTAACAACAGCAATAATTCAATATTATTGAAACACATCACACGTATTTCTGTATCCCTGCAGTTATATTTTTTGATGTTGCAATGGAGATTAAATAGCATGAATATCCTATTTTCTCTGGAATAAGAGTAAATGCTTATAAATGTGAGGTCAGTTTGAAGGACAAGTTAATAATATTCTAGCAGAGTCAGGTGCTAACCTTTGGAAGGTGAACACAATGTGAACAGATCAATCAAGATAAAATAAAGTTACTACCTGAAAACAAGTAACACTGTATTTTGAAGATTTGAGTGTATTCATCTTGTATAGGAGTAGTTTAGGTTTGCACAGATCGATCTAAATAAACGGAATGTAGTTTATGCCTTACAGAGAGATAGCATATAAGCCCTTGACTCTTTATTCTAGCACCGTGCTGCAGGCCATCTTTGCTAAATGGTGTTCACTTCCACAGCCACCCTGCAATGGAAGAGCAGCTTGATGACAGCTTTGAAACAAAATTTGGTATTCAATATAGTCCCAGTGGCAAACCTGGCATCATAGGTATCATGTACTTTTCATGTCCCTGTTATCTTTTCTGCACCTGCACTACATGTGGTTATAACTGAGGTCAAGGGTTTTCTGAAATCACAAATGCTCAAAAATAATTCATAACATTCTTAATTTAAATGCAATCTTTTTCTTCTTATGATGAATGCTATGCCTTTGAAACCATAGCTGAATACTGGTAAAGCCGTTGTCAGTCAAGTGTGCTTCCTGAAATGTAAAGCCCCTTGTTACAGAATATATAAGAGTCCTGGGAGCAGAGTGGATTACAAACTGGTTCCACAGGAGAACGATGAGGCTTTCTGCTCCTGTAAAGATTCGGTGGGGGTTATGTGCCGTGGAGTCGGTTCCGACTCATAGCGACCCTGTACAGGGTTTCCAAGGCTATAAATCTTTACCAGGGCAGAAAGCCTCATTTTTCTCCCACAGAACAGCTGGTAGATGAGAACTGCTGACCTTAAGATTCACAGACCTATCTGTAACCACTACTCTACCAGAGCTCCTCAGAAACCCTCTACAGGGTCACTATGAGTCAGAACCAACTCGATGGCATGCAAACACCACCCAGAGTGATACTCGAGTCCTGGTATGGCACTGTAGGATAAGTACTGCGTCCCAATGTTGGTTTGTACCACAAGATCAGCATTTCAAAGTCACTAGCCTTGCCTTGCAAATCATATACAGGGGTGCTATGAGTCGGAACCAACTCAGTGGCACTCAACAACAACAACAACATCACAGAATAGGTGAAGTCCAAAATGCAAGACCAGTTACCTACTGGAGCAGTAGCATGTTGCTGCATTCTCAGACCATCTGCGATCAGATATTAAAAGAGCATCATTTGCTACAATTGCATATGTAAAAGTGTTTTCATCATTGCTACTGTGAAACTGTAGCTAATCTGAAGTTAATAAAACACAGATGCCTTGAAATTAAAAACTATAGTTGTACCTTCCATCTTTTCTCCACTACCACCCTTCCTATACATGTGGAAGATGTTGATATTTATGGCTACTATTTCATTGTTGGTTTTGTTGCGTTTTTGATTGCTTCCAAAGCAATTATCTGTATATATGATAGCCATTCAAAGGCTTCCCCTCATGGCCATGTTGTTGTTAAGTGTCATTGAGTCCATTCTAACTCATAGTGACCCTGGTGTGATCAACTGGTGGGTTTGAACTGCCAACCTTGTGATTTGTAGTCTAGTGTTGATCCTATACCAGGGATCCCATTTGTTGTTGTTGTTTTGTGCCATGGAGTCAGTTCTGACTCACAGCAATCCTGTACAGGGTTTCCGAGGCTATAAATCTTTACGGGAGCAGAAAGCCTCATCTTTCTCTTGCAGAACAGCTGGTAGTTTCGAACTGCTGACTGTGAGATTAGCAGCCTGATTCATAACCACTATGCTACTTGTTGTTGTTGTTGTTAAGTGCCGTCGAGTCGGTTCCGACCCATAGCGACCCTGTACAGGGTTTCCGAGGGTGTAAATCTTTATGGGAGTAGAAAGCCTCATCTTTCTCCCACGGAGCAGCTGGTAGTTTCGAACCACTGACCTTAAGGTTCGCAGCCCAATTCGTAACCACTACGCTACCAGAGCTCCTACTAGATATGTATAAATCCATCATATTTAGACACTTCATCATAAAGGTGACTTGGTAAAGCCAGAAACTCTGGCCACATGTTCAAAGTTTTCAAGTTCAAAAACCACACAGAGTAAATAAGAGTATTTACAAAGCTGGAAGGGAAAACAAAGAGTCCATGTGAATTGCTGAGTTTGTAGAAGACTTTAACCATTTCAGACAAAAATGGTCAAGCATTATTTCATAACAGGGTAAGAGGGAAGTTGGAAACAAAGTTAGTGTGTATGAATTTTATCAACTGTACCTAATTAACAAATGCTGTGCATGGTGTTCCTTAAGCTATGTTCATGAATAATTCATGAAAACAGCTGCTGCTGGAGGTAGATTTGCTTTCTTTAGCTTATGAACACAGTGTGTGGTGCACACAAGGAAATTCATCCTTGCTGAACTCAAACACAGATTCTCACATTAGCATATTCATATGTAATATTCTCCCTGTTAGCTCATCAGTAAACCTCTGATGAATTTTACTCTGTAATGCTCCGACAATAAAAATTCTAATAGCTGTAGATACCTGCCATTTTCAAAGCTTGTCTCTTACCATTGTTGTTTACATCCTAGTTATCCAGAACCTTGAACTCTTCTAATCATTAGTAAAACATGAAGATTTCTTTCGTCTTGTTAATTATAATCTCAATTCTCAATACAAATTTACATTTTTTACCCCCTCACGAATGGCATCTGTAAAAACACAAAAAGTGAAGTATGAATCTTTAAAAAGCTGTAGAGTCTCAAAGTTGGAATGATCCTTAAAGACGGTCTGATTCATATCCCATGTGTTTATTGGATATCTTGTGACCATCATCTTACTCAAGGTTCTTTTGAGTCTTGTTCCTCTGTTTCATCCTCTAGTTTCTCTCTATATATATTTACAAATTTGATAACATAAATAATCTTTTAGCTATTGCTGAAAATATTGAATAGGCTAGAGTGTTGAACAACCTTTTTAAGTACAGTTTCTCAAAGTCTGATAATTTTTCTTCATCTTTTTTACAAAGATTATATGAAAGATTTTGAATGCCAAGATGAAGGGCAGATTTTATTTTCTAAGAGGGAATTTAGAGTTAGACAAGAGTGTGTTGTTGCTGTGGTTAGGTGCCATCTAGTCAGTATGGATTCATAGTGACCCTTTTTACAACAGAATCAAACACTGCCCGATCCGGCGCTAATCTCACGTTCATTGCTATGCTGGAGCCCATGACTCTTACCACTGTGCTAATCCATCTATCAGTGTCGTTCCATCTTGTTGGGGGTCTTCCTCTTTTTCTCTGACCCTCCACTTTACCGTATGATGTCCTTCTTCTGGTCCCTCCTGATAATATGTCTGGAGTCTGAGAGATGAAGTCTGGCCATCCTGGCTTCCAAGGAACATTCTGGCTCTATTTATTCCAACACAGATTGGTTTGTTCTTTCTTAAGTCCATGACTCTTAATATTCTCCTCCAACATGGGAACTCAAATGTACCAGTTATTCTACAGTCTTTCTTACTCACTTTCCAACTTTCACATGTATATGAAGTTATTGAAAATACCATTGTTTGTGTCAGGCTCACCTTAGTCCTAAAGCTGATATCTCTAAAGAGGTCTTGTGTAGCAGATTTGCCAAATGCAATACATCATTTGATTTCTTGGCTGCTGATTCCATAAGAGTGTTATATACAAATTAATTTTTAAGTTAAAACTAAACAAACATAAAAATTATGTGTTTTACTTCATAGTAAACTACATATCTTACCTTTGGGAAGAGATAAATATTCCAAGCTGGTCTCTGCTCCCCCACAAATCTACACTGTTCCTACTCTTACAGAAACAATTTTATACGCTATTGACCAATGGTTAATTCAGTGATCTGGTTCACTGACCTACTGACATTTGTCACACAATTTTTTTTTTTTTAGGGAACAAAATGGAATGTAGACCCAGGTCTAAATATTTATGAATAACAAAAGTAGCAATAACATCTATAATTAGGCTGTCTGTGTTGATCATAGTGATTCTGACTTTTATATGAGCTTGCTCTCCATTAAGAAATTCCCACTGTGGGTATACACTATAGTAAATGAGTCTGATCACTAATTCTTACATATGAAGAACTTTACAACTTCTAGCCTTATCCAGTGCATAAAAATCAAACCATTCTTCAAACCTACTGCTTTATCCTGAGCTGGATAAAACATTATCCATACATGATTTTGTATTTTTTAAATATTTTTCTTCTTATGATATCCACTGAATTCCAGTGAAGAAACAGGAAGTCATGGTTTAATTTTAAAACAGATATTTCATACCTTCACATCTTAAAAAACAAAGCAAAACAGGAATTGTTTAGATTTATTTTTTCTGGAAAATTAAGCATAAGTATAAATTTGGCAAATAATGCTTTGATATTCATAGCTATCTAATCTCTGACAGTATGCATTTTCTGTTATAATCAGTTGGTACCAAAATGACTAAATATTCCTATTTTTGACCTTTGAATATTTATTTCTATTCATCTCCATTTGTATCCTTTGAAGACTATACACACACACACTATATATATCATATATTTGTTTTAAAGTTTACAAATATTTTATATACTTGATGTTTTAATATGCTCTCATAACAATTTTAAATGTATTATTGATTTTTAAATGGAATAATTATTTATTTTTATGCAGTTTATAATTAACAACTTACTATAATTAACCCTTTCAGATGCAAAGACTTGAAGTCTTTAACCAAGAATGTAATAATTTAATTTTTTAAAAAATTTTAACTAAGGTTGAGAATAATTTTGTATTTTGTAGGACATACTCTTACATCTGAAGGAGCTCTGGTAGCGTAGTGGTTACGAATCGGGCTGCGAACCTTAAGGTCAGCGGTTCGAAACTACCAGCTGCTCCGATGAGGCTTTCTACTCCCGTAAAGATTTACACCCTTGGAAACCCTGTACAGGGTCGCTATGGGTCAGAACTGACTCGACGGCACTTAACAACAACAACAACAACTCTTACATCTAAGGAGCTCTGGTAGAGTAGTGGGTTACCAGGTGGGCTGTTAATTGCCAGGCGAGCAGTTCGAAATTGCCCGTCCCTCCGGAGAAAGATTAGCCTGTCTGCTCCTGTTAAGGTTTACAGCCTACAAACTCTATGAGTTGAAACTGACTCAGTGGCATACCACTCCCACCCCCATTGATATATCTGTTCTTTCATTTAACATATATGTAAATATGGGTATAAAAACACATATTTTAAATGTATTTCACCCAAATTTATTAAAAATGAGAACTACATTTTCAGTGTACTGCTAAAAGTCTCTGTAATGCAAGTATGACTAATGGTTAAATCAGAGGCCTGGTGTGGCACTCTAGGATAAACACTGGTCTGCTAACCACAAGGTTAGCAGAATAAATCCACCAGCGGATCCTCAGAAACCCTACACAGGATGACTATAAGTCAGAACTGACTCGATGGCACTTAACAACAAAGTGGTTATATTGATTGAAATTGCTGCTGATTATTTTTTTCTATAGTCATTGGAAGTCGGCTACACCCTTCAAAAAAGCACTAAGTAGCATGTAGTGAAAATTGCATATCACAAAGCTACTAATTGAATTTTGATGACCCGTTATGAAAATAATCCTATAAATTTATTTTAACAGCTTCCTCTACCAAGACAACATACATCAGCTACAGCAATCATTCCATCTGAAACGGGGAAGCGATACAATCTGAAGAAATGTGGCATGTGATCTTAAACAATGCACACCGCCAGAAACTCACTCTTGGAGAGCTCTGTCGACGACCACCAATCACATCAATAGTTTCTAAAAGGACAAAAAGGAGCCACGAGCCAAAAGTATCAATAATGGAGATCAAAGAAATCTGCTTTATTAAATTCAACCAATGAGTGTAAAGCTAAAGTCTTGCTTACTCATGAAAAGTTAAAAAAAAAAAAATTAAATCAAAAAAAGGAAAACTAATGTTAGCTTGTGAAAAAAAAAAAATGCTGTTGAAATAAACCATGTCTGATGTTATTCTTGTATTTTTCCGTGACTGTGAAAACTCCCATTCCCGTCCTACATTGTTCAACTTGTAAAGACAATGCGTCTGTTTCTCGTAATGGCTGAACGGATTGAAGCCCTGGGTTGTGCTCAGAATAAATGCCATGGTTGACGCATGCAATTTTTTATACAAATAATTTATTTCTAATAATAAAGGAATGTTTTGCAAATGTTGAGAGTTGTTTCGTTCCAGTTTTCAAGCCAGGAGAAAATTCTTTTTTTTTTTTTTTTTGGCTAGTTGGTATTTTCCCTGCGATTGTGTAGGTTCTACTATTAAATCCTAGTGTTTCAAGGAAATATTTCCTTGATAAATGTGTTTTTGTACATTTGTGTGAATATGAAAGAGGTTGTCTTTTATATGAAAAGGTTTTGTTTGTGTAAGAATTTGTGAATATGAAGATTTCTGTGTAGAGTTTCATAGAAATTGTGTCTTTTATAAAAGTTCAGATCATCACTGGAAGTTAATTGCTTTAGGTATTTATCATTAACAAGCGATGAGTTAAACTTTACTTTTAAGAATATAATACTCACTGTCTAAAAACATATCTAAGTGTTGCTAGAATTCTCCATTATATCTGTTAAGTGAAAGTTTTTGTGGAATGAAATATTTTAAGTGGTATTAATTAATCTTTCATACCTGGTCTTTTAAGTCACTGAAATCAGAAAAGCAAAGGGATTTACCCAGGACATTCTTCAAAGCATGGAATTAACACATTTATTCCTTTGGAATCACTAACGAAATCACAGTTCAGATTACATACCATTGCTTTCTTATTTTCCAAATGAAAACATTTGTTGGTTCATAGAACAATATCATTAAAGGTAGAGAAAGCAGGGAGTCTGTGCCCTGTTAATAAACCATGCCAGATGTAGTAAAGGGGCCTATTACAGGCTTTCACATCTGTAGCTATTTTTTTCCATGGGTGCATCTATTCCATACAATTCCAGACATCCATCAAGTCAATGGGTCTCTACAATCATTTTGTTAATGAATGCTCTGTCTGGTGAGTTGCTGGGATGGCTCATTACACTCCTTATAGATACAAAGAGCTATCTGGGCTTCACAGCTTCTACCCTGATATTGACAAGTCACTTAATTTATTGCCAAAAGTAGAAGTAACAAAGCTCACCTTTCTTCTTCTATGTGTAATAACATTTCCTAGATACCTGCATAGGTAGAAACCTGCATCTAGCAGGAAAGGTGTATTTATTGGGCTTTTGTTGAGTTTCTCCTAATAACATTTGTTGTTTGTCGATAATATTTAAAACAAAGAAGGGAGAGCACTGTTTTTCAACTTTCAGATTATCTGAAATCTGGATCCTGAACCCACCTCTAGGCGTGCCTTTCTAAATAGAACCTAATTGAAAACAAAATTAACCTGTAAATGCATATTTCATCAATTCCATGATGCCATTCACTTAGGAGCTCTGGTAGTGTAGTGGTTACGAGGCGGGCTGCTAATCTCACGGTCAGCAGTTCAAAACTACTAGCCGTTCAGTGGGAGAAAGATGAGGATTTCTGCTCCTGTAATGATTTACAGCCTCGGAAACCCTATGCAGGGTCGCTATGAGTTGGAACCGACTCCAAGACACATAACAACAACAACAACTTAACTAATAAGTAGCCATATCAGGAAGACTGATCATAATTATTCTTACATGGGTTTTAAGTTTACAGTTTTTGTATTGGAGAATTTTAGTGGCTTATAAGAGTTTTTTACTTATCACTAATTAATAACTATCCCTGTGTTGAGTTAAAAAATAATTGGATCTTACAAGCCTTGTATTTTATTCAGAGAGCAAAACTCAACTATATTTTCTTTCTTTCTTTTTTTAAACTAGTGAACTCTAGTCAGGGTAAACGAATGTGACAGGGTGTTTTTGAGAGCAAAGCTGCTTCTCAGGCCTAAGGTGGTATTTTTTTTTTTTGTTGTTTGTTTGTTTTTTAATTTATTATCTTTGTTCTTATTTTCATTTAAAGACTTGTGGAAGAAAAAGGAAATATTAAGCAAAATGTGTGACATTTCCAAATTGTTCTTCCTAGTACAAACTTACTAATGGGTTGCTGTTATAAATCATTGATGCTTATTTGGTGTTGTACATATATAAATCTTATCTAACTCCTGGGTTTACATCTGCCAGTCATCATATTTAACATGATCTCAGTGGGAATGTGCTGCTGCTAAAATGATCACTCTCCCCAGACAGTGGGAGGGTGCTCTCCTTCAACCTCTGACAATAGGAGCTGGAGACTTCTGATCTCTACTGTGTTTTGTGTTTTTTTCTCAGGGATTTTGCTGTGGGCTCAGGAGGTGGTCTGGTCATATGGGCTGGCACAATGAAGGGAGAAGGATTTAGCATGTGCCAGTGGTGGTTCATAAGTTCAGCGCTTTAAAATGAACTGCCTGTGTGTTATAGATAAGCAAATGCAAAGTTGCTCTGTGAGGAAAAATATAGTGTTGCATTCTTTAGAATCGACCTTGTGTTTTATTCTGGCCAAGAAATGTCACATTTAATCTCAGCATGCCAGAGGGAAAACTAAAAATGTAGCCTGAGGTCATATTCAGCAAATGTCACCAGCAGACAATGGGAGGTACATTAGTGTGACCTTGGTCCAAATCTGACTTCAAGTCTGAAGATTTTGTTATTTTAGACTAGTTATTATTTGTTGTTGTTGCTGTTAAGTGCTGTGGTGGAGTCTGTTCTGACTCAGAATGACCGTGAAAGGTGTCTAAATCAAGGAGAGTTATAATGTAACAAATTAATTTTTTAGAAAAATTACTTTATAAAGTGCAACTTGAGGGATGAACATTGAAGCATGAACTGTGATTGGCTAGCTTAATTTTTAGTGTTCATCAGAATTTTTTACAGAAAATTTGGCCTTTCAGTTGAACAGCATTTTACTTTTTTTTTTTTTTAAATACCGCAATATAGGAGATCGCATTAGAAACAGAATATTTTTTATTTGCATTTTCTCTTCCTATTAACTGGATATTATTTACTAATAGCATTTTTTAATGTAAAGAGAGTATTAATAATTTCCCAAATGACATTAGTCAACATGAATATTTTGTAGAGTCAGCAAGCTTAAGGAACAACATCCTTAAACCCTATTACTCAGTCTGCCCCCCGCTTTTTTTTTTTCTCATTTCACTAATTTCATTTCCTTGCAAGTCAGAATTTTCATGAGTTTTCAAAAATAAAATCACCAAAGTATCCATACAGCTGCATGAAAGGGCAAGTAGGAAATATTACCAAATGACAAAAATATTCTAATCATGCCAAGACCTCTCGGAAGACTTCTTTTTTGCTTTCTTTTTGTGGTTCTCCTTTAATTACAATATAAGTGATGAAGAAGAAAAGATGTCTTTAAGAAGAAATGATTCTATTTGTGAATGTTCGGAAAGTTCTGATCTTCACTGTAGGATCTTAAGTATAGAAGGGCAGGTGAGGAAGGCACATAAACCTACTTTTAAAACACTATTTTCATTGTTCTTTGTAAGTTTTAAATTTTTCAAATGCTTGATAGCTTAACCTTTAATAATGATATATCTCTTGAGCACCCATTATATTTTCATTTAGTTCAACCCTTAATAGGACATTCAGAGTATTTTTCATTTTGATGTGGTTAGCCTATTATCAGTGTGAAGACATCTATCATACTTTGACTTACATATTTATTTTCAGAATGATAGGAATGGAGAAAAAAATCATTTGTTGCTTACAGCTTAATTAAGTAGTGTAGGCAAAATTTGTTGTTACTGTTAGGTGCCCTGCAGTTAATTCCGACTCATAGTGACCCTTTGTACAGTACAACAAAACACTGCCCTGTCCTGCGCCATCCTCAAGAGCAATGTGATATCTGAGCTTACTGCTACTTCAACTGTATCAGTACATCTCATTGGCAGTCATATTTGTTAAAAAGTCACAAAGTGCCAATCTTAGGTCAAAAACTTGCCATATTATGATGGGTAGAAGGTGAGGGGTGACGTAGCTATGGAAAACAGGATAGCCATGATTGAGTTTGTTGAGTAAGCATGTACCAATGAACTAAGTTCCATTAAGTAAATTCACCAGTACATAGGGTGATTTTCTAAGAGCTAACAAAATAATAATAAATTGTTAAAATATAATTAGAGTCCAGGTGTAGCACTTTAAGATGAACACTGAACTGATAAGCAAAAGGTAGGTGGTTCAAACCCACCAGCCACTTCTCGAAAACCCTATACAGAGTGTCTGTGAGTATAATGTGGACAAAAAGGTAAAAGCGTGAATCTCATGCATGAACCTATCAATGATTTTACTCATCTTCCTAAAGAATGAGGGAACCAATAAGATGTTAAAAATGGTCTGAAGAACATTGGAAAATGAACTAGCTAATAACAGGGCCAGATCAAAAACCGGTTTAAGTTTTTACTTTATAATAAATCCTAACCATTGAGGTTATCTCTTCCATTAGATACTCGTTACTTGATTCCCTACCAGATACAAATCTGCAGGTTTTCCTGGGCAGCTGTAGACTTACAAAGTAGCCCTGTCTTTATGAAGTCACGTGAAATACTGCAATGAAAAAAAAAAAAGTTACGATTTTTAGCCTACTGCCAGTTTTCTGTATTTTTTCCCTGATAAGTGTGAGCTTTACATTGGT